GGTTAGGGTTAGGGTTAGGGTTAGGGTTGGGTTAGAGTTAGGGTTAGGGTTCGGGTTCAGGTTAGGGGTTGGGGTTGTGGTTCGGGTTAGGGGTTAGGGGTTAAGGTTAGGGTTAGTGTTAGGTGGGTTAGGGTTAGGGTTAGGGTTATGGGTTAGGGGTTAGGGTTAGGGTTAGTGTTAGGGTTATACTGGACTCACTGATGTTCTGGTACCCAGAGTCTGCAGAGGGACAGCTTATGCTTCACCACCACTTTATCTTACAATCAGCTCCAGATATTAGAAGGAAACTTAGGCGCTTAGACAAGGGCCCTGAAACCCCCACGAGAGATCTGTTGGACATGGCATTTAAAGTATTTTATAACCGAGAGGAACAGGAGAAGGCAGACAACCTTACCCTGTCCAAGCAAAAGTACCAGCTTATGGCTGCAGTCCTAAGGGCTCCTCCCAAGAACACTTCGAACACCAATGGGGCCCAACGGCATCTGCCAGGACCCTGCTTCAAGTGCGGAGCGACTAGACATTGGGGTTCAGTGAACGAACTTCTAGGCCTGGCGGCTGAAGACTGACGACACCCTGGCTTCTCGGACCCCACCACTTCTATGACTATCACAATGGAGGAGCCCAGGGTTTCAGCCATGGTGGCGGGTAAGATCATTAATTTCATTATTGACACTGGCCAGTCATGGCCAGTTCTCCCTTCCTACTCTGGTAAAGTTTTTCCCTCACAGATCTCTGTGGTGGGGGTTGATGGGAAGCCTCACAACCCCAAATCAACAGGACCCTTAGCCTGTGTATTCTGGAAGATGCCTTTAACTCACTCCTTCCTGGTTATGCCCACCTGCCCAACCCCCCTACTTGGCAGAGATCTCATGCTAAAGCTCTCCCTTTCTATTTCTCTCCCATTCTCCAGCATGGCCGTGAAGCAGCTTCAAAGCTTCAATGCCTCCTGCAGCTTCTCTTGGGATCGCATTCTCACTTTATCAGTTAATCTCCTGAGAAACTTCTCTAATGCTAATGTCTCCACTTGCTTTCTCTGTGCCCCCTGCAGGGCTCACTTCTCCTCCCTCTCTCAGTGTACAATGTTACTCCACAGGCCACTACTCAGTGTTC